GGGTGCCAGAGATAGAAACGCTCGGTCACAGGCCGGGTGAGCACGGAGTGCGGCCAGAGACCGGGGACATGGGAGCGAATGACTGCTTTTCTCTGGGGGCACACTGAGGAGCGATGCCCTGAGTTCTTGGCTCCTCCAGGGAAGAGATTGGGAGGCCGCCATTTTCACTCTCGTCTCCAAAGCTGTATGGAAAGCTTGCAGGGAACAAAAGCTCCAGAGGACAAACCCGAGCAAATTACTTAGCCCGGACTGGCAAAGGCGGGGCAATTCCACCTCCAGCAAAGACATTTGGGAACCACGGCAACAGGCCCCTCCCCAAGAAGATCAGCGAGAACAGCCAGCCAAGACCAAGTTTACCAATCAATGAGAACAGAAGAACTCCAGCGGTAGGGGAATAATGCACATAGAATCCATGGCTTTTTTACCATGATTCTTTAATCTTTCAAAGTTATTTTTTTAACTATATTTTTTTTCTTTTTTGAATTTTTCTTTTTCCCTTTTTCAAAGAACATCTTATCAATCCCTTTTTTAAAAAATCTTTTTTATTTCAAATTTTTAGAATCTTTTTCTATCCTTCATAGTAGTTAACCTTATTTTTGGTATATATATATATAAGTTATTCTCTCTTAAAAATTTTGAGACACAGTTTCTTCTAACAGATCAAAATATACCCTAAATCTCTAGTATATGGCTTTATTCTAGTCTCCTGCCTGATCACACTCTCTCCCTTTTTTTTTTAAATCCTCTTTCATTTTCATCCAACTTCTTCTTTTATCAATTCCTTTTATAAAATCTTTTATAATTTTCATCCTTACACTCATATTCCATCCCTTCATCGTATTTACCCTTATTTTTGTACATATATAAGTTTTTCTTTTTTTTTTTTAAGATTTATTTATTTATTTCAGAGAGTGAGAACGAGAGAGAGTACATGAGAGGGGGGAGGGTCAGAGGGAGAAGCAGGCTCCTCGCCGAGCTGGGAGCCCGATGCGGGACTGGATCCCGGGACTCCAGGATCATGACCTGAGCCAAAGGCAGTTGCTTAACCAACTGAGCCACCCAGGCGCCCCTATAAGTTTTTCTTTCTTTAAAATTTTGGGAGGCACTTTCTTCCAACAAACAAAATATGCCCAAAATCTTGTGTGTGGCACTGATCTATGAACCAGCCGGATCGTATCTTTTTATATTCTGGTTTTTTTTTGTTTTGTTTTTGTTTCTTTTTATCTTTTTCTTTTTCTTTTATCTTTCTTTCCCTTTCTTTTCCCCCAGTTTCAGGTCTTTTCTGATTTGTTTAGTGTATATTTTCTGGGGACGTTGTTACCCTGTTAGCATTTTGTTCTCGCATTCATCTATTCTCCTCTGGACATAATGACAAGATGGAAAAAATCACCTCAACAAAAATAACAAGACGTACTACCGACTGCCAGGGACCTACTCAATA